TGTAACTCTGCCTTTCAAATAATAATTCAAAAAAATAAATGTCCTAATAAGGAAGAGATAGATACTTGACAGAGAAGAAAGTAATGTGACCATAGGAGCTAGATGCAACCCTACCGGCTCTGCAAATGAAGAAGGGGCCAAGTGCTAAGGAAGATGAAGAATTTATCTCTAGAAGCTGGAAAAAGCAAAAAAATAGACTTTTCCTAGAGCTTCCAGTGGGAGCTTGGTCCTGTTGACACCTTGACCTTGGCCCAGTGGAATTTTTTTTTTTTGACAGGCAGAGTGGACAGTGAGAGAGAGAGACAGAGAGAAAGGTCTTCCTTTGCCATTGGCTCACCCTCCAATGGCCGCCGCGGCCGGCACACTGTGGCTGGTGCACCGCGCCGATCCAATGGCAGGAGCCAGGTGCTTCTCCTGGTCTCCCATGGGGTGCAGGGCCCAAGGACTTGGGCCATCCTCCACTGCACTCCCTGGCCACAGCAGAGAGCTGGCCTGGAAGAGGTGCAACCAGGACAGAATCCGGCGCCCCGACCGGGACTAGAACCCGGTATGCCAGCGCCACTAGGTGGAGGATTAGCCTAGTGAGCCACGGCACCAGCCAGCCCAGTGGAATTTGTTACAGCAACTGGAAGAACCTCACACACTCCAAGCTGACTGTGCAGACATATATCAGCCTAGGGCTCTGGCCAGCACAGGTAAAGTGACCGCTGGGTGTGTACAGTGCCCTGTTCTGTGCTGTGGCTGCAGAGGACTCAGGGAAAGGCTGGGGATCAGGCTGGCTACTCACAGCATGGGAAGGTTTCTGCCTGGCCAGGCAGCTTGGATGGAATCGTCACTGCTGGCGCTGGCTTGCCTCAATCCCTTTTTGCCAACAGTGACTTGAATTTTGGTTCAGAGATATGAAAGTAGGGATGGCAAAGCAAAGGTTTATTCAAGTACTTTCCAAGGGCCAGTGGACAGGGCATGTGGCAACCCTCCTTCCTGGTCTGGGGCTTTTTTCCCTAAAGGACGAGGGGCGTTGACTGGTGATGTGGCCTTGACACTCATGATTGGCATCTGTGATGGATACCTGGGAGTTGCACAACTTTGGGCTCACTGTGCATGTGGCTACAAACCAGAACCTTCCAGTTTGGCTGAGCTCCCGCTGTATCACAAGTTAAACTGCAACGTGGGCAGTCTTGGGTGGGTCCCGGGTGGAGATCAGGGTCGTGGTCCCTCTCCTGTCACTCATGTCTAGCTACCTGACAGGACTGCTGCTTCCTGCCTGGCTCCTGCTGTCACAGCTGGTCAGCATTTAGTTCTGGACCCTGTTTGGAAGCAGAACTGGAAGATGCCACCATCCTCAGACCTGTGTTGCTTGGGAATTCTCAGAGAGCCCCCGGGTTTCCAGGATGGAAGCAGGAGGCCCAGGGAGTGCAGGGTGAATTCTGATCAAAAAGTCCCCTGTGGATAAAGCCAGGCTCTGTGCAAGCTGTGCCCTGCTGTGAGCTCACCCAGACCCCACACTCTCTGGTCTCCCAGCCTTGCTTCTACAGGGGCTTCCCGAAGGGTCCACCCTTCCCAGCTTCACCTGCTGAAACCCCATCACTCCTCAGAAGTCTGCCTTCTCTGGGGCCACAGGTGGAGCTCAGAGGGCCCTGGTTACACAGTCAAGGCTGACCCTTCCTCCCCAGCCCCCTGCCTCAGGGCCTTGACTTGGGCTGCCTGAAATCTCCACTTTGGGGTGACACACCTTCTCCTCCAGGAACAAGGCACCTGTGCCCTGCACAGCAGAGTCCTTCTTCCCAAGGATAAAGGAGGCTTCCCCACAAGGTGTCCTTCCTGCATGAAATCACTGGTACATTATTCCTGTGCCCAGCGTGCGGAAGTCCCAAGAGTAAGATCTGGGTTTGACCCATTCCCATGTCCCCAGCACCAGGCCAGGGACTGAAGCAGTGACAGCACCGAGTGGGAAGCAGCCTCTACCTACATGACTTCCTGGTCCCCGGGTAGGCTACCCACTGGGTGTTAGGGGCACCAAAGGGCCGTGACGTCACCTAGAGAGGTCAGAGGTCACTTATACCAGCATCTCTTGGGAAAAGCTTAGATCAGCTAGCCAGAGCCAGGAGTCCAGGTTCACGCCTCAAATGTTTATTGCTACTTCCCCAGACTGTGAAACCTGCTCCCATTCCAGGGAAAATGCCAGAACATCAAACAGCTCCACCTCTTTGCCACCTTAAGGTGACTAGGGAGAGAGATGGGGCATATCCCAGGAGCCTTGGAGTGGGGGGTTTGGGGAGAGACAGAGGTCAGGTTAGGTCTTCAGACTGCAGCACAGGTCTCAGGCCACAAGCACCCGACAGGGCTGGACTGGGCCGAGCGGTTTTCAGTAGTGGTGGATGGGAAAAAAAAAATCTTTGGCAGTGGGTGCCAGGAGCCACGACGGTAATGCAGTACCTGGCGCCCCATGGGCGTGGCTCCGGGGCACTGGGCGGAGTCAGCAGCTGCGCCTCTTCTCACAAATCCAGTTATCTCTCGTATTCCCACAGGGGGCGTCATTCCACAACCCGGAATCCAGCATCATGACACAGTCCTCCTGGCCCCTGGAGTCATTGGGCTCCCCAGTGTTCCAGTGGCTGCGGGGGTTAGACAGGGTGTTGCCGGAGCTTTAGGCGGTGGGCGGACCCGTGATCCGACCCTCTGAGCCCTACCTGCAGTACCCAGCTGACGGCCAGAATTTAACCCCCAGGCTGTTCCTGGGAACTAAATGACCATGCCTAAGACTCTAGCCTCGCATCAAGCAGTTCCTGAAATCAGCCAAAGCTCTTCCCCTAGAGTCTCACCCGTCCCTCTCCACAGTTGTCAGCCGGAAGCCATCCCTCACCTGAAACTGAGCGGGACTCCGTCCACCCACTGGTAGCCTTCAATCCTGCCCCGCCGACGCACGGCCCGCAGGCCCAGCCAGTAACCGTACTTGTATTGCAAATTCCGGCTCAGGAAGCCCTGGAAGGGAAGCCCAGAAGCTGAGCCTGGAGACTCGGCCTTGCCCACTCACGTGCCTGCCACGCCCACTCACGTGAACACGTTTTGCCCATGCATGTGGGCCCACCCCACCCATTCACCTGCCTAATCCCCACTAGTGCCAGCCCCGCCCAATCACGTAGCCCCACCCACTCAAGCGGTCCCACCTATTCACGTGCCAACCCCGCCCACTCACGTGGCCCCGCCTTGCCCACGCCTGTGGCCCCGCCCCACCCACTCACGTGCCCACGCGGGCCACGCCCCCTCGCGAGACTGCCCTCAGCCCTAGGAAAAGCCCCAGCAGCGCACCTGCTCCTCCAGGCCCCCAACAATCACCAGGTGCCCACTGATAAGTGCGCATTGCTGCTGCGCCTGCTCCCACGTGTCCGGCCTCTCGGAGAAAAAGTAGCAGGAGCCCTCGAAGAGGAGCCACTTGTCGGGACACGGCTCGCAGGAGCCTGGGGGGTGGCCACGGTCAGAGAGGCGGCTTGCTCCAGGGCAGTGCGTGCCGCGAGGATGGGGGCAGAGCCGCAGTGGAGACCTGGCTCTGCGGATTTGGGAACCCAACGCCCCACCCCCACCGGCAGGGCCCCACTGGTCTCCTCCCCCGCCTGGCTCACCATTCTGGACCTTGGTGTTGTCCAGTGCCCGGTACAGCTCACTGCGGATGTTCTCGCGGTCCCTGCTCGCTTTAGCCACCTCCTGCGTCACTGCAGAGTCAAGGCCACGGGGATTAGGGCTAGGGGCAGCGGCAAGCAGGGGCAAAGGTCCGAATCCCTGTCTGGGGTCAAGACTAGCTCTTAGGGGTGGATGTCTGGCCCAGCATTCGAACCACTTGTTGGCTTGCCCACATCCTATGTCTGAGCTCAGGTTTGACTGAATTCTGCTTCTGGCTTCTGACTCCAGCTTCTGGCTAAAGCACACCCAGGAGGCAGCAGGCTGAAAGAGGGGGGGCCCTGCCATCCTGGGGTACACCTGGATGGAGTTCCTGGCTCCTGGTTCTAGCTCAGGCCCAGCCCTGGCTGAGGTGGGCATTTGAGGGTTAAACCAGCAAATGGAAGAGCGTTCTCGTTCTCTCTCTCTCTTTCTCTCTCTCCTAACAACAACAAAACCACAGGGAAGAGGTGTTTGGCACACTGGTTAATTCTCTGCTTGGGATGCCTGTATTCCCATATCAGAGTGCCTGGGTTGAATCTTGGCTCTGCTCCTGAATCCAGCTTCCTGCTGATGCACATTCTGGGAGAAAGCAGGTGATGGCTCAAGTGTTTGGGTCCCTGCCACCCACATGGGAGACCTGGATGGAGTTCCAGGCTCCTGGCTTCAGCCTGGCCCAGTCTCAGCTTTAGTATTTAGGGAGTGAACCAGGTGTCTGTGTTAAAAAAAAAAAAATGACATTTAGGGTCCAGGTATGGCTGGTTGGAGTTAGGAGTGACAGCCAAGGTCAGTATTTAATGGTAGGGTCAGGGACCCAGCCTTCACCAGGGCTCAGGGGTCGGGGTCTGGACACACGGCCCTCACCGCGGGTGGTCAGTTCTTTCAGGGCGCTCTCTTGTTCCAACAGCTTGGCCTGGGTAGCCGCCAGCTCCAGGACTGCCTTCTGCAGCTGAGCCTTGTTTTCCTTGCCTAGGAAGGACGGGGGAAGGGGAGGAGAGAAGGGAAGGCCAAGGCTGGGAGCCCGACTTCTGAGACCAGCCCGCCCCGCCCCCACGCGCCTCTTCACTCCCGGCAGCAAACGTCGCCCCCGGCTCACAGCAGCTCCCGCAGGCTCCGACCTCCTTCTTCAAGGTATCCAGCGCCGTCGCGTGCTTGGAGGCTGCAAAGACCCCAGCCCCACGCACTCGCTGGGTCATCCTTCCCCGTCCTGGGGACCGTGGGGATCCCCACACCACCCTATACCGCCCCGACCACCGCCCGGCCCCGGGCGCCGCGGTTCGCACGCACCGTTTGTACTCAGCGCGTCCTGGTGCTGGAGTAGCGCCTCCCGCTCGCTGGAGGCTGCAGAGAGAGGAGCTTGCAGGAGCGCGGCCGGGGATGGGGAGTGCAGGGGGAGGGAGCCGTGGACCCTCCTCTGGCCCTCCCCCGCTCCCCTGTCCCGGGACCCACAGAGAGAGTAGTGCGCACAGGCAGGCACGAGGTGGGGCTCCATGGCAGGGGGTACAGGGGCCCATGAGGGCCATACTGTTCCGGCGCACTCACACTCAGGTCCGCACGCTTACCACAGAAGGCCTAGACATAACCTCTCCTTTCTAAGGGGTCACTCACCCTCGGACAAGAGGACACTCAGGATGAGTGCCCACAGAACTGTGGCCACCAGGACAGCCAAAGCCAGGAAGAAGATTCTGTGTCTCCAGGATGTCCAGCGTCCCCAGTGCCCTGGGAGGACAAAAATGAACTCCTGGGTCCCCTCTCCAGCCTCTAGGGGGACTGAACCCTGGGCACTTGGTCTCCTCCCAGGAAATGGAGGTTCAGAGAGGGTGAGAGACCTGCCTAGGATCACACAGCCACCACATGGCAGAGTTGGAATTTGGAGGCAGGTGCAGCTGGTTCCACGGCACCCAATACCTGGATGACTTTTGCCTTCCCCTCCCCCTCCCCCATCAAACCTGTGACACCTCGGGCAGGAAGAGACCCAAGGCAGAGATTCTTACCCCGGGACACGTCCTCAGACATGCCGTCCCACTTGCTGTACCCGGGGGTGTCCATAGCAATGCACAGGTCCAGCCTGGTGCTGAGATACTAATTTAGCCCCTACTCCTCCCTGACCCCACCCACTCTCCCTTCCTTCCTATTTCCTTAGCCTAATTCTCGGCAGTAGGAGCTAACCAATCATAGCACCAGGCCCTAGAAGGGCTGGGAAAGGGGGAGGGCATGGGAGGTGGAGGGGACGGTCTCAGCCTTCCTGTCCTGGGAGTTGCAGCTATACCCCTTAGGTGGTCGCTGGCAGCTTCTCTTTGGAGTTTGGGCCTTATTTCCTGTGGACATGGGGTTGGCTCCCAGCCAAGAGGCATGCGCAGAACCCAGCCAAGTTCTGACACCTGCTGGGTCCCAAGAAAGTCCCCTCCCCCAAACCAGCTCAGCTTCCCTTCTTCAGCTCTCCTGCAGCTGCCTGGCAGGGGCGGGATCTTCCGGCCAGAGAGGAGCAGGCACTTGTTGGGGGTGATCAGCGTGGCTGTTGGACACCAGGACTGGGTGGAGGGGGCGTAGGTAGCCTCTAGAAGCTTCAGTTTTCTGTGACATGAAAAAGGGGCAAAGGGACACTGTGATAAAGAAATGAGGTGGAGCCGGCACTGTGGCACAGCGGGTTAATGCCCTGGCCTGAAGCGCTGGCATCCCATATGGGCGCTGGTTCTAGTCCCGGCTGCTCCTCTTCCGATCCAGCTCTCTGCTTTGGCCTGGGAAAGCAGTACAAGATGGGCCAGGTCCTTGGGCCCCTGCACCTGCTCAGGAGACCAGGAGGAAGCTCCTGGCCCCTGGCTCTGGATCGGCGCACCTCCAGCCATTGCGGCCATCTGGGGAATGAACCATCGGATGGAAGACCTCTCTCTCTGCCTCTCCTCCCTCTGTGTAACTCTGACTTTCAAATAAATAAATAAATCTTTATTAAAAAAAAGATAAAGAAACTAGGTTATGCTCATCCAACCTTGCACGGTCTTAGGCACATAAAAAACAACGTTCATACGTTCTCTCGACAAGTAAGATTACAAAAATATCATAGAAAAATGGAATGAAAAGAGAGGTTTTAGGGGGTGCAAAAGAATACTAAAATCCTTACAGAGTTGGTTCCCAATATGCCTTTTCCATCAATGTTTTCTTAAAGATTGGTTTATTTGAAAGGCAGTTATAGAACAAGAGCGACAGAGAGGAGACAGAGATCTTCCATCCACTGGTTCACTCCTCAAATGGTTGTAATGGGCCAAGTGGAAGCCAGGAGCCAGGAGCTTAATCTGGGTCTCCCAAGTGGGTGCAGGGGCCCAAGCACTTGGGCCATCTTCCACTGCTTTCCCAGGTGCATTAGCAGGGAGCTGGATGGGAAATGGAGCAGGGGAGACTCGAACCGGCACCCATATGGGATGCCACAGGCAGCGGCTTAACCCACTGTACCACAATGCCAGCCCCTCCATGAATGTTCTGAAGACCTCTTGTGAACACTGTAATATATTCCACATTGATCTGGAAACTGGCGCTACCTCAATGTTCAAAATTAGCAGATTTTAACAGATTTCCTCCTCCTCATTGCCAACATTTTTGTGCCACTTGGCACTACAGTCAAAAAATACGTTGTCACGTGTGGTGTTCTCAACCAGGGGCAATGATGCCTACCGAGGGATATTTGGAAATGTCTGGAGATGTTTGTGTTGTCAGATTGGAGGGAGGAAAAAAGGGGGAGGGAGAGAGAGCGAGCTAGCAAGGAAGCGGGAGCCAGTTGTAGACTGTAGCTTCTGCTTCAAACCCCGCAATGCAAAAGACTGCCTCCCACCCTTGGTGAGGAATAATCCAGTTCTAAATGTTCTCAGTGCCAAGAGTAAAAATGCTAATAAAGTCCAAAGGACCTCCAAAAATTTTGCGGAAAATGGAATTTAAAAATAATCTGGGGATAGGTGTTTGGTGCAGTGGTTAAGACAGCATTTGGCATGCCCACATCTGAGACCTGGCTCCACTTCCCTTTCCAGCTTCCTGCTAATGCACACCCTGGAAGGCAGCAATGATGGCTCAAGTACTTGGATCCCTGCTGCCCATGTGGGAGACGCAGATTGGATTCTGGGCTCCTGGCTTCAGCCTAGCCAATTGGGGAGTGAACCAGTGGATGGAAGACCTCTCTCTCTCCCTCCCTCTCTCTCTCTTTCTCTCTCTCTCTCTCTCTCTTTCTCTTTCTCTCTCCTCTGCCTCTCCTCTGTGTAACTCTAACTTTCAAATAAACAAATAAATATTAAAAAAAAAATCCAAAGGGGGAGCTTCAAAAAGTTCACGGAAAAGGCATAGGCTGAAAAAAATCAATGAATGGATTTCAGTTTTTTGCACCACAGTAAACTGCTCTTTTCATTGCGTTTTCCGCAAACATCTTGAGGTATCCTTGCAGTGTATTTCATAAGTCCTAAGTGCTGTGAAGAAAGAATACATGAAAGGGAGAGAAAGTCCAGCAGGATAAATGGCGTGGCAGGGTGGTTATGGTGAGTCCCCTCTGAAACCCATGCTGGAGTCTGTTTGTTTATTTGTTTGCTTTATCTTTTTGTGTTGAAGCACAGAGAGATCTTCCATCTGCTGGTCCACTCCCCAAGTACCCACAACAACAGGGGGCTGCGCCAGGCTGAAGCCAGAAGCCAGGAACTCTGTCCAGGTCTCTCATGTGGGTGGCAGGAGCCCAAGCACTTGGGCCAGCTCTGCTGCCTTCCCAGGCACAGTTAGCAGGGAGCTGGATCAGAAGTGGAGCAGCCAGGACTCAAAGCAGGCACTCTGATCCGGATGTGGGGATCACAAGCAGCAGTGGAACTCGAGTGCCAGGTGATCCCCCACTGTGCCATCACAGGAAGGTGGAAACCTGAGCCCACGGTGATGTGCAGAGGTGGGACCTCGGGGAGGTGAGTAGGACTCAAGGTCAAGGTCATCAGGGTGGAGCCCCACGAGTGAATCCTGGAGCCTTTGAAAGAAGCGGGAGAGACCAGAAGAGATGCAGACAGAGAGACACAGACACACAGATACACATATAGACACACACAGAACATACATAGAAACACACACACAGACATGCACACACGTGTATTCCATGTGTCTCTCGCTCTGTGGTTTCCTGTGCCCCCTTGCTGCACTCTCCCAGCAAGAAGCCACCAGGAGAGGTGGCTGCTTGACCTTCAACCTGATGAACTGTGAGCCCAGACAGATCCAAGGTGGGTGGCGGAGTTGCTCATTTTTTGTTGCTTTTTTTTTGTGATTTTTTAAAAAAGATTCATTTATTTACTTGAAAGAGTTCCACAGAGAAGGAGAGGCAGAGAGAGAGAGGTCCTCCATCCGGTGGTTCACTCCCCAGATGGTTACAACCGCAGGAGCTGTGCTGATCCAAAGCCAGGAGCTTCTTCCGGGTCTCCCACTTGGGGTGCAGGGGCCCAAGGACTCGGGCTATCCTCTACTGCTTTCCCAGGCCATAGCAAAGAGCTGGATCGGAAGTGGAGCAGCCAGAACTAGAACCGGCACACACACGGGATGCTGGCAGTAGAGGCTGCAGCTTCACCCACAGTGGCACAGCGCCGGCCCCTTGTGAATCATGTTTACTCTTGTTCACGAGAGCTCTCATGCCTGGTCAGCTCTAACTATTAAACAGAGAACACATGACTCACTCCATTTTTTTAAAGCACAGTAAGTGCAGAATTGGGGAAATTAGCACCGGCCAGTTGCCTGATATTGCAGTGGCGAAGATAAAGCTCTGGTTTGCAGTATTTCTCCAGGGCAGATATAAGACAAGGAACATGCCCTATGGAGTAACTCCCCAGCCTCAAGAAGCAGGCTGCAAGCCCTGTGAGGCGCTGGCCAGGGCTGGATGACCCAGCAGATGCGGGGCAGGGTGGGGGAATTCCCCAAAACTCTATGCAAAAGTGGATTTTTCAATTTATTTCATTTATTTGAAAGGCAGAGCGCTCTTCCATCCACTGATTCGGGCCTCCAAGTGCCCACATCAGCTGGAGCTGGATAAAGCCAGGAGCTGGGAGCTCCATCCGGGTCTCCCATGTGGATGGCAGGGACTCCACTACTTGAACCATCACTGCTGCCTCCCAGAATGCACTTCAGCAGGGAGCTGCAGTCAGAAGCAAAGCCAGGACTCAAGCCCAGGCAGTCTGAGAGGGGCTGCAGGTGCCCCAGTGGCATCTCAGCTGCTACACCTGATGCCCATCCCTGGCATTTACTCTTTTTTTTTTTTTTTTGACAGGCAGAGTTAGACAGTGAGAGAGAGAGAGACGGAGAGAAAGGTTTTCCTTTTTCCGTTGGTTCACCCCACAAGTGGCCGCTACAGCCGGTGTGTTGTGGCCGGCGTGCTGCACCAATCCAAAGCCAGGAGCCAGGTGCTCCCTCCTGGTCTCCCATGCGGGTGCAGGGCCCAAGCACTCGGGCCATCCTCCACTACACTCCCAGGCCACAGCAGAGAGCTGGACTGGAAGAGGAGCAACCGGGACAGAATCCGGTGCCCCAACCGGGACTAGAACCCAGGGTGCTGGCGCCGCAGGCAGAGGATTAGCCTAGTGAGCTGTGGCGCCGGGTGGTATTTACTCTTAAAGTGTACATGCTAACATAGCAGCACAAGCACTGCAGTGAAGAATCAAGGGAGGGGCCGGTGCAGCAGCGGGGCGGGTAAAGTCGCCGCCTGCAGTGCCCGCATCCCATAAAGGTGCCAGTTCAAGTTCCGGCTGCTCCACTTCTGATTCAGCTCTCTGCTGTGGCCTGGGAAAGAAGTAGAAGATGGTCCAGGTCCTTGGGCCCCTGCACCCATGTGGGAGACCCGGAAGAAGCTCCTGACTCCTGGCTTCAGATCAATGCAGCTCTGGCTGTTGTGGCCATCTGGGGAGTGAACCAGTGGATGGAAGACCTCTCTTTGTAACTCTTTCAAATAAATAATAAATAAACCTTAAAAAAAAAAAAAACCCATATGGGAGACCTCGATTGAGTTCCTGGCTCTGGCTTTGGCCTGGTCCATCTCTGGTGCCCCCAGCACTTTGGGAGTGGGCCAGCAAATAGAATCAATCAATCTCTGTCTCTCTCTCTCTGCTTCTGAAATAATGTCTTAATTTTTTTAAGATTTATGTATTTTGAAAATAAGAATTGCAGAGAGAGAAGAGAGACAGAAAGAGGGAGAAAGAGAGAGAGAGAGCAAGAGAGAGAGAAAGAGGGGGAGAGAAAGAGAGAATCTTCCATCCACTGGTTCACTCCCCAGGTGGCTGCAATAGCCAGCACTGGACCATGCCAAAGCCAGGAGCCAGGAGCTTCATTTAGGTCTCCCACAGGGGTTCAAACACTTGGGCCATCATCCACTGTCTTCCCAGATACGGTAGCTGGATGGGAAGTGGAGTGGCCAGGACATGAACTGACACTCTGCTATGCGATGCAGCAGTCCCAAGCAGCAGCTGAAACTACTGTCTCACAATACCCACCCCTTATTCTCAAATTTATGTGAAAGAGTAAATATTTTATGAATTGTCAGTTTTTTTAAAAAAAGATTTATTTGTTTAGTTGAAAAGCAAAGTTAT